TGGTCTCGATCTCCTGACCTCGTGATCCTCCCGTCTCGGCCTCCCAAAGTGCTGGGATTACAGGCTTGAGCCACCGCGCCCGGCCTTATTTGAAATTTTTAAAGATTTTATTTGGAAGTCTATGTAAATATAATTGATTATTTAGTGTCTTTCCAAATCTTGGTATTGTATTTTTTTCTTAGATAATATAAAGAATATGTAATGAATGTTTTCACTAAGCCCCATATAGGTAGAGACAAACTATCTCCAGCATTCTGAGTGCTGAACACATATTATCTTTTTTTTCTAAGCACTTGCCTAGAAGATGTAGATCTTGCCCCTGGCCTTAATTATCCTGTCTGTACTTACTAATTGGGTGTCAGATCTTGATTCTTAAGCCTCTGTGCCACCACTCTAATATATAGCAACACCCTTTGCTTGTTGGATTTGGGAATTGAGGGTAAGATGAATTCTGATTTTTCAGGGTCTGGAAGTATTTGCTTTATACATGTTTTGTAATCATGGTAGCCTCACACCATGTAAGTGGGAGGAGGGGAGTGTGTGGGAACAAAGATGAAGATAGAATAGGAAGGAAGGAAGATAGGACCATATTCCTTGCTTTAATTCTGTTTCTTTTTTCTAAGTACATTTGTTGGAGAGAGGTAGATAGTGGAGAAGAGCTTAAAAGGAAAGCCTGACAATTAAGTGACTTGAATCATAGTATATTTTGACTTTTTCTTTTTCTTTTTTTTCCTTTTCTTCTTTTTTTTTTTTTTTTTTTGAGACGGAGTCTCGCTCTGCTGTCCAGGCTGGAGTGCAGTAAGCTGACTCACTCCGCCTCCCAGGTTCAAGCCATTCTCCTGCCTCAGCCTCCCAAGTAGCTGGGACTACAGGTGCCCGCCACCTCGCCCGGCTAGTTTTTTGTATTTTTTAGTAGAGACGAGGTTTCACCATGTTAGCCAGGATGGTCTTGATCTCCTGATCTCATGATCCGCCCGTCTCAGCCTCCCAAAGTGCTGGGATTACAGGTTTGAGCCACCGCGCCCGGCCTATTTTGACTTTTTCAAGTTTGGGTTGGAGAAAGACTGTGTATTAGTTGAGATTCTTCCATTGTAAACAACAGAAATAGATTGACTAAATTAGGCAAAAGAAAGATGAAAGCTGCTCACTTAGACTTGAAGTAGTCAACGAGGGCAACCAAATAGCTGTCATGGACGTTTCTTCCAGTGTGTAGTCAATAAGTGGTCCTTTCCAACTGTCTGCTTCTTGACTTCTGATTGACCCAACTCTAGTCATGTCCCAAACGCTATAGGGGTAGGGATTGGTTTGTATTAGGGGAGATAGAAGAATAGATTTCTGGACAAACACAAGTAGTAGCCATTACACTATGCAATTAAGGATCTGTTTGACTTGTATTTACCTTGTCAACACCATAGCTTGTATGTCAACTTATCCTATGGAGTCTCTTGGAGTTTCTGTTAGACTCTTTGAAAGCAGGCGTAGTACCTTGCACACTTTATTTCCTGTTATGCCCTGCATTTGAATGGTGCTAATTTATTGCAGGTCTTTGGCTCTTCTTCTTTTTTTTTTTTTTTTTTAATTTTTTTTTGGTGGGGGTGTCAGAGTCTCACTCTATCGCCCATGCTGGAGTTCAGTGGCGCAACCTCGGCTCACTGCAACCTCCGCCTCCCGGGTTCAAGCGATTCTCCTACCTCAGCCTCACAAGTAGCTGGGATTACAGGCATCCACCACCATGCCTTGCTAATTTTTGTATTTTTAGTAGAGATGGGGTTTCACCATGTTGGCCAGCCTGATACTGAATTCCTGGTCTCAAGTGATCCGCCTGCCTTGGCCTCCCAAAGTGCTGGGATTACAGGTGTGAGCCACTGCACCTGGCCCCTTTGGCTCTTTTTACTACATTATTTCTGTATTTTCTAGGCTATTCATCTATGGTTTACTTACAGTAGATTTACTTTTTTTTTTTTAAACTTTTATTTTAGGTTCAAGGGTACATGTAAAGGTTTGTTGCGTAGGTAAACACATGTCACAAGGGTTTGTTGTACAGATTATTTCAATTAAGTCCAGTACCCAGTAGTTATCTTTTCTGCTCCTTTCCCTCCTCCCACCCTCCACCCTCCAGTAGACCCCACTGTCTGCAGTTTCCTCCTTTGTATTCATAAGTTCTCATCGTTTAGTTCCCACTTATAAATAAGAACATGTGGTATTTGGTTTTCTGTTCCTGCGTTAGTTTGCTGCAGATAATATCCTCCAGCTTGCCATCCATGTTCCCACAAAGGACATGACTTTTTTATGGCTGCCAGTAGAATTACTTTTTAACTGCAGATATGTAATTAAGAAGCTGGTAGTCTGTAAAAATGGTAATATACATGACTGCAGAGAGGGACCATTTCCCTTAGCTAATTGAGGGAAATGTGTGTGTGTTTTTTTTTTTATGCTGGCAGAGCTAAGTAGTTTGGTTGACAGGGCTATCCACAAGTGATTCATGAAGAAGCAGGTGCTTACTCCAAGATAAGGCCCATACTCACAGTCTTTGGTCAAGAAAGTTGATTTCATTTGTCCGATAGTAATGTAACTATGTAAAGACCTGATTTGAATCTTACTGGCTATAGCTTTGGATATGTTGATTGTGGGTTTTTTTGCACCTCACTTTTCTTACAAATAGAAAGGACACAATTGCAATTGCTTTGTCCTGCCACCACCACCTCCCCCCACCCCCAGAAATGTGAGTTACCTTGGGTAAGACTGTCCATTTCTTAGCTTTAATTTTCTCATCTTTCAAATAAGGGAGCCTCTTCTGGCTGTAAAATCTTAGATTTTGATTCTTTTGTTTGTTTCAAACAATTGACAAGAGTTTCTAGAAATGTTTTTCCTTTTGCAGTGCTCATTACATGAAACATCTTTTTCTTCTTCACCAGGCAGTTGCAGCAGTGCAGAATGGCCGACCTCAGTCTTGCAGATGCATTAACAGAGCCATCTCCAGACATTGAGGGAGAGATAAAGCGAGACTTCATTGCCACACTAGAGGCAGAGGCCTTTGATGATGTTGTGGGAGAAACTGTTGGAAAAACAGACTATATTCCTCTCCTGGATGTTGATGAGAAAACCGGAAACTCAGAGTCAAAGAAGAAACCGTGCTCAGAAACTAGCCAGGTTGAAGGTAAGTATTTAAACCAGACTGCTTACATATGTTCAGAAAGCAGGTTAGGGATTATACCTTTGATCGTAATCTTGGAAACTAAGAATTGAGCTGAGTTTTTTTAGTATAGGCTAGTAACTTTGTATTTCTTTTTTTTTTTTTTTTGAGATGGAGTCTCGCTCTGTCGCCCAGGCTCATTGCAAGCTCCGCCTCCTGGGTGTATTTCTTTATTAGAAACCGAGAAGGTAGACTTACCACCCTTTGAGTGAGTGTTCATGAGTCTGTAGATAACTTTTAACCCTAATATTTCTTCATTTAGACTGGAATCAGATGCCATTTGTTGTCTTTGGGGTCATCCCAGGTCAGGATTAAAGCATAATTAAAGCCTTTAAGAGAAATTTCCCTTTTTCCTGGATCAGATGTGCTAATAATTGGTTGAGTATTTTTGTATCTGTGTTCATGAGGGAATTCGTCTGTATTTTTCTCATAATGTCTTCTGTCCAGTTTTAGAATTGAGGTCACGCCGACTTCATAAAATGAACTGGGAAGTGTTCCCTTCTTTTTCTTTTCTGGAATAGTTTGCATAGAATTGACATTTTTTTCTTCTTTTCAGTGTTTGATAGAATTCATCAATAAAGCTCTCTGGGCCTGGAATGTTCTGTCAGATTTTTAAACTAGGAATTTAGTTTCTTTCAGAGATCATAGAACTATTCTGGTTATCTATTTCTTAAGTTAGCTTTGGTAGTTTGTATCTTTGAAGGAATTCCTTGGTCAGTTTCCTGGCATAAATGTTACAAACTAATGGAGATACGCTTTTAAGAATCTGTTATAGCCCCTCTTTCAGTTCTTATATTAGTCATTTGTGATGTTTCTTTTTTTATTTTTATTTTTTGATAAGTCTAGATAGAGGTTTATCAATTGTATTGAAAGATCCAGCTTTTGGTTTCATTAATTTTTTTTTCTATTATCTTTCTGTTTTTCATTTCTTCTCATATCTTTATTTTCTTCTGTTTACTTAAGTTGATTTATTCTTTTTCTGGTTTCTTAAGGTGACAGCTTAAATCAGGTTTTGATCTGAGACATTTCTTTTCTAATGTAGTTACTTAATGTTATAAATTACCCTCTAATCACCATTTTAGCTGTGTCCCATGGATTTTGATATGTTGTATTTTGTTTTCATTTATTTAAAAACATTTTAAAATATTTTCTTTGTGAATTCCTCTTTGTGTCTGCCTTTAAGATTTTATCTTTATGTTTATTTTTTAGCAGTTTATGTTGTGTTTAGATGATATTTTGGAAGTTTTCTGCTTGGGCTTCTCTGAGCTTCTTAATCTGTGCTTCTGAAGTGGTTAAGTCTGGGAAATTTTTGGCCATTATCTTTTAAAATATTTCTTCTGCCCCATTCTTTTTCTCTTCTCCTTCTGGGATTCCAATTATATTTTTGTTAAATTGTTGGATAGTGTCCTGTATCTCTTGGATACATTGTTAGTTTTTTTCTCTCTTTATTTCTGTTTGTGTTTTACTTTGGGTACATGCTTTTGACCTGTCGTCCAATTCCCCAATTCTTTTCCTAGTTGTGTTGAATCTAATAATGAGCTTTCAGTGGCATTATCTACTTCAGCATCTTTTATGTTTTTAATTTCTAGCATTTGTTTGCCTCTTTCTTATGAGCTTCCTTATTTCTGCTAAAATTTCCCATCTGTTCATGTATGTTTTCCACCTTTTCTACTATAGACTTTAACATATTAATCATAGTGGGTTTTGTTGTTGTTGTTGTTGTTGTTGTTGTTTTTTGAGACGGAGTCTCGCTCTGTCGCCCACGCTGGAGTGCAGTGGCACAATCATAGCTTAAGCTGGGACTACAGGCGCCTGCCACCTCGCCCGGCTAGTTTTTTGTATTTTTTAGTAGAGATGGGGTTTCACCGGGTTAGCCAGGATGGTCTCGATCTCCTGACCTCGTGATCCGCCCGTCTCAGCCTCCCAAAGTGCTGGGATTTCAGGCTTGAGCCACCGCGCCCGGCCAATCATAGTTGTTTTAAATCTCTGTGTGATAATTTGAAAATCTGGGTCATCTCTCAGTCTGATTGCCGTGTGTGTGTGTGTGTGTGAGAGTGTGTGTGTGTGTGTGTGTGTGTGTGTATCTTAGTTTTTGATTGAATGCTGGATCTCACATGTAAAATAGTAGGCTCAGGCCAAAAGGTATTTATGCTTGGAAATGGGCATGTCTCTTGGGTTTAGTCAATTTAAACAGGAGCTGAGCTAGTTTTGGGTTTTGTTGTTACCATAATTGCCTTCAGTGTTACTGTCTTCAGTCCCTTTAATTCTGTGCTTAGAGTGGGGACTGAGGCGCCGGAAGGTATTTCTTTAATGTGCTTGCTCCACTCTTTCAGCCTTCCCTGTATACCCAGGCCTCAGAGGGGTCCTTGTCCATTGTCTTTTCCCTCTTTTATCAGAAGAGTTCTAGCCAGGTGGTGGGCAGAGTTTGTTTTTTTATTGTCCCATTTTGTGCTTAATCATGTGCTTATATCTCATGGGTTGGGTCTTTCTCAATTGTATTATCCTTCTCACAGTAGTAGAGTCTTCTAATGGTATTGGTGTAGGATCCTGGATGAGGAGTTTTTCTTGCTCCTCTCTCAGGTTTATAAAGTATGTTTCTATTACTCTTTCCCTAGCTACAGCCGGTGTGTTCTGGGGCTGACAGAGTTTGGTACTCCTTCCCCAGGAGAGAAAGATCCCAGGAGGAGGAGTTCATGCTTTTCCCTTAATGGTGGTGGCCTTCTCCAGGTCTGTAGCATGGAGGGAGACTATCTGGTCCCTCACCCTGCTTCCAATCTTTCCTGTGAGCATGCAGCAGACATCTGCAAAGACAATCTTGCAAATGAGTGTGAATTCCCTTTGTGTCTGTGGATTTGAGGGACCCCATAGTCTCATGCTAGCCTTCACTTACCTTTAACAAATCACTACAATTTTTACTTGAATTTTTCTTACCTGCTTGTAGGGTACCCAGTGTCTCTTCTGCACATGCGGTGACACAGGAGAGCTGGTGTTCACCTCCCATATTTCCTGGAGGGGCTTGTCTTTCTTTGGATTTCATACTACTAGGTAGCTTTCCAATGAATTCAAGTTTTTTGTAGTTGATCTTGCTGTTTCTGGTTGTTAGGGTGGGAGTGACATCTCTTTTGGCTTTCTACAGCATAAGTGGAAGAAGAAAACCTGCTTCCTTAATATACGTTTAATTTGTGTCTTGGGGAGGGGGCAGACCACAGCTCATTTAAAGAAGTACTGAGAGTTTAAGATCTAATTATATCCATATAAATATTTACTTCAGGCCAGGCGCAGTGGCTCACGCCTGTAATCCCAGCACTTTGGGAGACCAAGGCAGGCGCCTCACCTGAGGTCAGGAGTTTGAGACCAGCCTGGCCAACATGGGGAAACTCGGCCTCTACTGAAAATACAAAAATTAGCCAGGAGTAATGGTGTACACCTGTAATCCCAGGTACTTGGGAGGCTGAGGTGCGAGAATCACTTGAACCTGGGAGGTGGAGGTGGCAGTGAGTGGAGAACGTGCCACTGCACTCCAGCCTGGGTGACAGAGCAAGACTCTGTCTCAAAAAAAAAAGTTGCTATAATTTTTTGCAAAAGTGTCTTGACGTTGAAAAAGCTTATGTTGAGAAATAAAGTTCATGCTTTTATCCTTTAATTCAATTTTCCAGAAACTGATATTTTTTTTGAACAGGCTAACAAATGCATATGTACAAAATCCAATTGGTTCAAAGGGATATACAGTAAAACAAATTATCCCAATCCCTACACCCTAGCTAGGCAGTTCTCCTTCCTGGAGTAACCACTTGCCAGTTTCTGGAGTAGTCTTCTGAGTTAATGAACTGTGTTTTTTGTTTTTTTTTTTTTTTGAGATGGAGTCTCACTCTGTTGCCCAGGCTGGAGTGCAGTGGCACGATCTCTGCTCACTGCATCCTCCGCCTCACAGGTTCAAGTGATCCTCCTGCCTCAGCCCCCCCGGTAGCTGGGATTACAGGCATGCACCACCATGCCTGGCTAATTTTTGTATTTTTAGTAGAGATGGGGTTTTGCCATGTTGGCCTAGCTGGTCTCAAACTCCTGACCTCAGGTGATCCACTCACCTTGGCCTCTCAAAGTGCTGGGATTACAGGCATGAGCCACCATGCCTGGCCTGAAATTTTAAGTTATTTACATGTCAAAAATAGCAGGGAGGATTTAATTTTTTATAAATAAAATAATGTCTTAAAAACTTTCCTCCTCTTGGGCCAAGTTAATGTTACATGGATCAAGTCACTCAAGATGAAGCACAAGAAAATCTACTGCTACCACCTCACTGTCCTTATCCACCTAGTCTCAGTCCCAGATGGTGGAAACAATGCACAGTTAAAGGAAATTAGAAAATGAAAAGCAGCTAGCTTCTTTCACCTATGACTGATGAGGGTAAGTTAATATTAGGATGGGAAGAGCATCTCAACCATGACTAGTTGCTACAGTATGTACGTCTTATCATTCCTTTCTTCTTACTAAGTTTTCTTTGTTTATGTTAGTCAGTCAGAGAACAAATGTCTCCACCATCCATTATGGATTAAGACAGAGATAGACTTTCCCCTTTTCCATTAAGGAATCCAAATTTTTTGGAGTAAATATTTATTTGTTCTTCTTTTGTGCTGGGATTATAGGTGTGAGCCACTGCCTGGCTTTTTTACATTATTAAATGAAGAAAAATGAAGAAATGAAGAAAAATGGATGCCCTTTAAAGTTTTTTTTGTTTAAGTTTTTAATTTTTCATTGCTACTAAAGATTTTTTTAAAGATTAGAAAACAAAAAAATCAGAAGGAACCAAATCAGGACTGTTGTGAGGTAGATGCCTAATGATTTCTCATCAAAACTGTCACAAATTATCTTTGTGAAAGGAATGAACAGGAGCATTGTCCTGGTGGAGAAGGACTCTCTGGTGAAGCTTTCCTGGGTGTTTTTCTGCTAAAGCATTGGCTGAATTT